AATTAGATATTGAGTTTTATATGCTTCAACCCAATAATGTAAAGTTATATAAATGTTGAGCATTTATTGCAGTAAATGTTCATGTTAACGTGTTGCCATACCACGGTTTTGTTCATAGTCATAGGACCACCTAAACGAGTAGTCCCTACGGTGAGAGAGATAGATTATTAATAATAATCCATTAGAACTAAAGTCGAGCTTGCCATTTGTAGGCTTCAACTTAATAAGGTAATTCAAACTTTTGAGTTGTGAAAATGAGGAGGCATTAAAAGCTCATGGTGAGATCACGCTTTGGTACCAATCAATGTACTTCACGCTCATTTGACTGCTTTAATACTTTAGCTTACAGAATGCCATTCCAACTGTCCAACGATCTCTCTCCCGCACTAGGTATTTTTTTTTTAAATTGGGAAGTTTAAAAAAATTGGGATGCTAAGGTTCACTATGTTGAACCTTTTGTCCACAGAAGCGTCAAAAGACAAATCGAAGCTTGAGTGAGAGGATGAGAAGATTAGTAGTTCACGAAAAAAGATTTTTGACCAGATGTCTAATGAGGGATTAATCTAGCTTGAACTAGAGCACAAAAAAAGGCGTCATTATCAGCGATGGGTGATAAGAAGGGGATTTCTCGAAAGGTACGTCGTATTGAGGCGGCTACGGAAGGTAAGGCTACTCTTACAAAGCACTTGAATCTTTAAAATTTTTATGTCTGTATTTGCTTGGAATGTCAGGGGCCTTCAAGGCTGGGGTGGAATTTCGGATATTGGGGCTTTAAAAGGTTAGCATAATTTTGGTCTTCTTTTCTTATTGGAAACCAAACTTCCTGTGGAGTTGAATTGTAGGTGGTCTAAAAAGCTAGGTTTCTACAATAACTTTGTTGGAAATGAAATTGATGGTAGATACAAAATTCTAGTATTTTGGAATCCTTTAATTTACTCAATCAGAGTGATTGATATTAATGACCAGATGATAACAGTTGAGGCCACTCGAATATGTAATGGGAATATTTCAGTTATTTCTGCGGTCTATGCATACAATTTTGTGTCCTAAAGGGCTCAGCTTTGGGGTCACATGAGGGCTATCGGAGCAACTATTCATCTTCCTTGGCTGGTATTAGGGGATTTCAATACCCTATTGGATTCCTTAGAAAGAATGGGGGTAGTAGCTCTTTACCTCCAGATTTAGGTGACTTTGCTCAGGTGATGTCGGATTGTGCTCTTGTTGACCTTGGAGTAGTCAGGGGTTAGTTTTCTTGGTCCAATAGCCAGTTGAGTAAGAGATGCATCACAAGGAGGTTGGATCGTGCATTGGCAACTACCGATTGGGTTCTATCTTTTCTTGATTCCAGAGTCATGTTACTCCCGAAAGGTACTTCAGATCACTACCCTTTACTGGTTTCTATTTCTAATCAGGGTTCGGTTGGCCCAAAACCTCTTAAATATTTCTCTATGTGGGACCAACATCATGATTTTTTAAATATCATCTCTAATTCATGGCAAGGCAGAGTAAGGGGACACTCATGTATCGTTTTGTTGTTAAATTAAAGAGTTTAAGGGGTGACCTTCGTTCATGGAACAAGGAAGTGTTCGATTATGTGGGAGAATTGATTGCATCAGTGCGACATCAGTTGTCTTCTTTGCATGATGGCTTACACATGGATCCTTTCAATGAGACTCTTATATCTGAGAAAAAAGAGTGTACTAAGAAATTCCAGATTCTTCTGGGTCATGAGGAAAGTTTCTGGAGGCAAGCATCACAGCAGAACTGGTTAAAAGATGGGGACTCCAATACCAAGTATTTCCATTTATCTACAGTGGTTAGGAGGAGGAATGACAAAATTATCTCTTTGAAAGATCAGAATGGGGATTCTTTTTTTACTGAAGCAGATATTGAAAACTCTATGATTAGTTATTTTGAAGATCTATTGGCCCAAGAGAGTAATACCGATATACATATGGTTGATCAATTCTTGCCGCCATCTCTTCTTAGTTCTGCTCAGAAGGACATACTGGTGGATGGACTAAACATGGAGGAAATAAAAGCGTGCATCTGGGATATGAAAAATGATAGTGCCACGGTCCGGATGGGTTTTTAGTGGAATTCTATAAGTTTGGATGGGAAGTCCTTAAAAAGGATCTTTGTTTGGCCGTTGAGGATTTTTTTACTAAAGGTAAGTTTCTCAAGCACGTCAACTCCACTTTTGTATAGTTGATTCCTAAAGTTAATGCACCCAGTTTGATGAAAGATTTCCGACCTATTGGGTTGTGTAATGTCCTATACAAAATTATCAGCAAAATAATTTCTAATCATTTACGAGTGGTTCTTGCTGATATTATTGATCCTAGGCAGGCTGCAATCTTGAAAGGTAGGCAGGCTTATTATTGATAACATCCTCATGGCAAATGAACTCATGTCTCTTTGTCATAGGAATTCAGTTCGACCTAAAATGTGTTTGCAAATCGATTTGAGTAATGCGTATGAAAAGGTTTCCTGGGATTATATTGTTTGTAGAATGCATGCTTTGGGTTTCCTTGATCTATTTGTCTCATGGATTCGCTTGTGTATTTCTACTACTTCCTTTTCTATTATTAGGAATGGATCTCTCAAGGGTTATTTTAAATGGAAGAGAGGTTTGAGGCAAGGGGATCCTCTATCTCCATACTTGTTCTTATTGGTTATGGATTTCTTTAGTATGTAGCTTGACTGTGCTATGTTACAAGGCATGGTTCCCAGGGCTTTTCCTTCAGGGTGCGACTATGGGGTCTCTCATCTGTTTTATGCTGATGATGTGCTCATTTTTTGTTAGGCATCCATCTCCTCTGCCAGGGCTATGTGAGAACTTATTTATGAGTTAAAAAGGGCTACTGGTCAGATTTTGAATTCTTCTAACAGCAAGGACTTCCTCTTTGGTGCACCACGAGGAGGAAGTAGGAGTCCTTGAAGGAGCTCTACCAGTTCTTTATTTGGGCCTACCTTTATTTCGTGGATATCTGAGGCACAACTACTGCCGTGGTCTAATGGGCAAGTTGTTCGGTAAAATTGGTTCATGGCAGCCTTTATGTCTGTCATATGCAGGCAGACTTCAGTTGCTTAAGTCGGTTCTTAGAGCATCAGTGGTTTTCTTGTTGCTATCTTTAATTCTCCTGAGGAAAACATGTAATAGGATAGAGAAATTACAGAGGTACTTCTTATGGGCCGGTGAAGCAGAAAAGAAAGGTATTCATCTTTTCAAATGGAGGACAATATGTCTCACTGAAGCTGAAGGAGGCTTTGAGGTACGGGAAATAGAGGATTTCAATATCGCAGGAATGATGAAGTTAACATGGCAGATTTCGGAAAACCCATCCTCATTGTTGGCTTGGCTCTTCAAACATCGCTACTTTAAGAATTCTTCTATGTTGAAGGCTGAATCAAAAAGTAGATGTTCTCATGCCTGGAAGGGAATTTTACTTGGCTTGTCGCATTTGAAAGACAATATGCTGTGGAATATTGGTAATGGTTAGATGGTGGATTTTTTGGTGGATCCATGGTTAACAAGTCAGTCATTATCAGAGTTCCATGGGGATACCATTCAAGAGGATTTGGCTGCTTCTGGGCAAAGGGTTTCAAACTTTATAAGAGGAGCACTTCAGTCCTCGGTTTTTCCACCTCCTGCATCTAATGCTTTGAGAGATGTATGGAGGGAGATCGAGAATTACACTCTTCCTCTATAGCCCAAGAAGGATTCAGTAGTCTGGATTCGCTATGCAGATGGTCTTTTATCTATTAAAGGGGCACGGGATTTTATTAGGCATCAAGGTTCTTCACAGCCTATTTTCCGTGCACTTTGGTCTTCTAAATGTCACCCACGGGTGAAATGGTTCTCATGGCTAGCCTTGCATAATTGTTTACTCAATTCTTTTTTATTGCAGCAGCGGGGTATGCTGTTGGATTCCTTATGTCCCTTTTGTAGCAACCATGATGACAACCTCTTCCATTTATTATTTCAATGTGCTTTTGCTCATGGAGTATGGAGATCATTAGCTTGCTTGGAGATGTGGAAAACGGTTCGTCCTTGGCACTTCTGCCCCCGAGTTACTTAGGTGGTGGTTGCTTTTCAGGTTTAAATCTCATGGTCTCCATAATATCTGGTCTTCCATTTTTTTTCCTACTAATTGGTTTCTATGAGAGGAGTGCAATAGGAGGGTCTTTGGGTCAAGGTTCACTAAGAGAGAACACCTCGTGAAACAGATTAACTCACATGTTTAGATAAATTGGTGTCAACAGAAGCTAGAATCTCGTATTCCGATGGCGTATTCATTTCCTGAGGTTCAGAATTATTGATGGTGCTTCCTTGAGAAATCTAAGTCTAGCAGATGGAGATGGAGTCATCAAGAACAGAGAGGGTTTTACTGCGGCTTTTGCAAAGCATTTTGGAGTTGCTTCTAATAGCCATGCATAGTTCTAGGCCCTTGAAGAAGGCGTTTAGTTGGTTCATTAGAGGAATTGCTTTCCAATTCAGATTCAAAGTGATTTGGCCCTACTTGTGATTGTCATTCAGAATCGATGCTGTGCTCCATCGCGGCTACAGACAATTGCATATAACTGTCGTACCAGACTCTCTATACAGCAATGGTCCATTGCACATATTTTTCGAGAGGCAAATATGGTTGCTGATGCGCTCGCTAAGAGTGCATCTGTTGGCCCTGGTGCTACTGTGTGGTGCTGTAGACCACCAGATTTTCTTTCTCCTCTTTTAGTACATGATCTGGCGCAAATGCCCTATTATAGGGTTGTACATTAATTGTTCTTCTTTCTACATCTTTTAATGAAAAATCGGGTACGGGGCCTTCTCCCCCACTGAATTACCCAAAAAATGTTGATCCCTATAACTCATTTTTAATTTCTTTTTACATTTATGATTTGATTAATATTATTGAATGAATATTGTTGACCATAAATGAAATATTTTCATGCCAATGTAAATTATGTGATACTTGAACTATTTCTTGACATGTCAGGTGTATAAATAACAGCAGGTCCATATACAAACCTCTCCATGTAAGATATGGTATTCCTTGATAAAGAGAGCATGTTTATTTGACCCAATGCAATAGTCTCCCAAGTTTTCGCCATACGACTTGTCTTGCCATGACCATTTCTTGGATTCTCAATACTGCTGTCACTCCATCCCTGCAGGGACAGAGAACCCGTCGCTGTCTTGTCCATGCTATCAGAGGCTTTGGGGAAGTAGGAATAGGAGAGCACTCGTGGGGCACGTAGAATCCTGTGTGAATCAGCAAGGACCACCTTGTGAGGCTAAATACTCATGGGTGACCGATAGCGGAGTAGTACCGTGTGGGAAAGGTGAAAAGAAACCCTATCGGGGAGTGAAATAGAACATGAAACCGTGAGCTCCCAAGCATATTGTCTAGAATGTGACAGTTAATTTTTTGCACATGGAGGTCACAATCATTCCCACTGCTTAGATGTCAAATTGGATGGCTTGGGGTGAGTCACAAAGTCCATTTATTTTGTGTATATGGACGACTTCCTAAAACGTAAAGGTCTTATTCCTTAGACACCCTTGGATAGAGTGGGGTTCGTACTCCATACCATAGAGGCCAAGGGAACTACTTATCTGTAATAAAGTAATAATAATGGATACTTCTCATTAGGTTATGCAGTCAAGGTGCTCTACAGTGTAGTAAGGGACCACAAAACGTAAAGGTAGTTCGCGGGCTCTCTTGTAGACCTAGAGAGTATATAATAAATGCTGGGAAATATGACACTAATTACAATTTATTGGTATCATGTCCCATACACCAGGGTGACGACGCATCTAAGACAAGGTGCTGTGGAGTATGGGGTGGACCGTACAATGTGATGACTTCCTAACCCACGTACAAGTCATGTGCCTTAGACACCCTTGTATAGAGTGGGGTCAGTACTCCATACCTTTGAGATCAAGAGAACTACTTATTTGTAATCAAATAATAATAATTGAGCTCACAATTGCTGGTGGAAGAAGCCCAAAATATCATCTCCTGAGCAGTAGGCACTTCACCACTTCCTCGGTACCTCTCCTCGATTTTTGATGAGATTGCTAAAATATGCAGGGATATGAACGTCTTATGGAAGCATACTTGGTGGACGTCCAATGAGTTCACTGATCTTCTTGCAAAAGGCGGAGCTAGGGCCCATGCTGAAGATCCTGCCCGGTCCATCTCCTTTTTTACATATCTTGTAATCGGGCAAATCTATGAGCCCCATTTTTTTGTAACTCACAGGTACAACTTTTTGTAATCAGGTAGGTTTAAAGGCCATTTTTTGTACAGGGTCTCTTGACCTTTTTTTTGACCCAGAGACCCGACTTGTGGGTACTCTCGAACCCCTCTTTTGTACTCTAACACCATACAACAATACAAAAGTGAACTTTCTCTAAAAAAAGTAAAATAATGGATACTTCTTGATATAGTTAACAATATCAAAAAAAAAATGGGTACTTCTCATTAGCGTAAGTCAAGGTGCTCTACAGTGTAGTAAGGGACCATGGAACGTTAAGGTAATCTGGGTGCTCTCTTGCAAACCTAGAGAGTGTACAATAAGTGACGGGAAATATGACACACTTATTACATAAAAGCAACGCATAAAAGAAAAGGTGTTGTGGAGTATGGGGTGGACCATACAACATGATGACTTCCTAAACCATGCACAGATTATGTGCCTTAGCCACCCTAGGATGGAGTGGGGTCAGTACTCCAGACCTTCGATGCCAAGATAACTACTTCTCTGTAATAAAATAATAAGAACACTATTCGGGTTCGGGTCCAGTTCTAACTGTACCCGACCAGTACTCGACCATACACTAAACCGTTGGAGATAAACTATTTTACTTTAAGCCCTATTCGTTTGGGTGTATTAAGGATCATTTATAATAAGAACTCGTTATCATCTTTAGCTATTAAACGACAAATCAGACGGCTTGAAATCTGGTACTTGGACCTGAAAACTATTCGGGTCTGGATCCGGTGTCAGCCGGACCCGACCAAACTTGGGACTCGTTGGGGTAGACTCGGGACCCAATGGGTACGGGTGTGACGTGTTGGGTCCAGGTCCAAAATTTGGACTCGAAAACTTTTCGAGTCTGGGTTTGGTTCCAGCTGAATCCGACCAGTTCGGGTCCGACGCGGTAGACTTGGGACTTGATGGATACGTGTATGACGTGTCGGGTCGGGGCCAAAACTTGAACTCAAAATCTATTCAGGTCTAGGTCCTGTTCCAGCCGGACCTGACTAGACTCGGTACCCAACGGGATAGTCCCGAGACTCGATGGGTACAAATATGATGTGTCGGGACCAGTTCCAAAACTTGGACTTGAAAACTATTCGGGTCTGGGTCTGGTTTCAGCCAGACCTGACTAGACCCGGGACCTAACGAGGTAGACCTAGGACCCGATGGGTATGGGTATGACGTGTCGGGTCTAGGTCCAAAACTTGGACTCGAAAACTATCTGGGTCTGGGTCCGGTTCTAGTCGGACCCGACCAGACCCAGGACCCAATGCGGTAGACCCCAAACGTGATGTGTACGGGTATGACGTGTCGGGTCCGGTTCCAAAACTTGGACTAAAAAACTATTCGGGTCTGGGTCCGATTCCTACCTGACCTGACTAAACCTGGTACCCGACGGGGTAGACTGGGACCCGATGGGTATGGGTGTGACATGTTGGATATGGGTAGAAAACATGGACTAGAAAACTATTCAGGTCTGGGTCCAATTCTAGTCGGACCCGACCAGACCCGGTACCGGACAGGGTAGATCTGGGACTCGATGGGTACTGGTATGATGTGTCGGGTTTGGGTCCAAAACTTGAACTCGAAAATTATTTGGGTTTGGGTTTGGTTCCAGTCGGACCCGACCAGGCCTGGCTAGACCCTACCCAAAAACTATTCGGGTTTGGGCCCATAAAATATACTTTTGTTTGGGTCCGGTCTACCTCTCAGAAGACACCACTATGTTCCAGTGTTTACACCACTATGTTCCTGTGTATAGTTCTGTTGTATCTTGTATATACAATTATTAGAAGTCTATAATCCCCGCCGTCATGGAAGATTCAATATATCCCCTTTTTATCATGCCACTCTCAAAATCTGTTAATGAGTATCCTTTGCATTAAACCCCTCAATGTCGTCATTCTCCCTCACGTGTATTTCTTCCCATAACAGCCACTCAATCACCCACCGCCTCTTTCCTTCTTCCTCTCTCTCTAATGGAACACTGCCTCTAATAAACACCCTCTACCTTTGTCCTCTATCTAAAAAACATCGTCCCAATTTCTTCCCGTATCTCCTTTTACCTCTCACAAAACCCACCATATCTATTGTCTCCCCTTCCTCAACTCTGCTCTGCGTGAACAGTGAAAGAGGCCTCCATTTCCCCTCTTCCTGTCACCCCCCTCCCTCATCTTATTCCAAGCACCATCTCCGTCCCCTTCTCGAACCATCACAAATTATCTAAGATTTACAGATGAGTTGCTGGCTGAAGCAACAACAACAACACATCAACAAGGTATGTCTAGTGTCTCTCACAGTTAGTATGGATTAAAATTTATGATTCATGTGTCTATTTTGTGACAGCAAGAGAAAAACGTTTCTAGACATTTGTGTTTTAGAGAGAGAAAAAAATCCGTAATGGCTGTGTGGTTTGGTTTTTTTTTTCTTTTTTTTGAGATCTTTGTGATATGGGTAAACAATATGATATGAACTATAATGTGTGTATTTTGTGAGAGTGAGAGTGAAAGGTTTCTGGGCATTTTTGTTTTTAGATAGATAAAAATCCGTAATGCCTTTGATGTATGGGTTTTTGTATTTTGTGATCTTTGTGCTATGGGTTAACAATATCATGTGTGTATTTTGTGAGAGCGAGAGTGAAAGGTTTCTGGACATTTGTGTTTTTAGAGAGAGATAAAAATCCATAATGGCTGTGTGCTATGGGTTTTATTGTATATTTTGTGAGAGTGAGAGTGAAAGGTCTCTGGACATTTATGTTTTTAGAGAGAATGCCTCTGTGTTATGGGTTTTTTATTTTGAGATCTTTGTGGTTATGAGTTAACAATATCGTGTGTATTTTGTGAGAGTGAGAGTGAAAGGTTTCTGGACATTTGTGTTGTTAGAGAAAGAAAATATCTGTAATGGCTCTGTGGTATGGGTTGTTTTTTTCTTTTTCTTGGTTTAACATTCTCATGTATGTATGGGGTAACATGCAAAGAGTGAAAGTTTCTGGTATGGGTTAACATTTCTTGGGTCTCTTGCTTTTTTCTTTTTTTTTTTTCTCATTTTTTTAGTCTCTTACTTTTTGGTATTGGTTAACAAACTTTGGAGAGAGAGTGTGAGAGTACAATAGACAGATTCCTAATAAGTACTGTTTAACAATGACCATGTCAGGAACTCCTATTTTGGAACCTTTCTCAAGTGAGTAATTTATGAAAGAAGTATAGAACATTATGGCATGGCACTTTTTTGCTACTGTACTCAAACCTGCTGTTCTGCAAATTTATTTTTTGCATTTCTATCTTTAATACATCAAATCATGAATCATGATAAGTATTGTTCGTTAGAGTCACTTTCTCAGTTAAGTAGACTGAACAACATTTAGCTCAAACATGTTAAGTTCTGTTCGGTAGTCATTTTCTTAAGTAATTTCTCAGTTAAGTAGGCTGAACAACATTTAGTAGGCTGAACAACATTTATTGGGGTTGGAATTAGAATGGGTAATATGTATGATACTTGGAAACGTTAAACAAATATAATAGAGTAGTATTATACTTCTTTGTACCATCTGCCATCACAATCATAGATAAACAATATCTCGGTATGTGCCTCGTGAGTTCTCTTAGAGGAATAATTGTACAAAATTTGAACCATTTGTGGGATGCGTTTTAATGGTATAGATTGATAGATAACCACATAGAAGTAATGGTAATATTTTTAGTTCCAAAATTGTACCCTTGGGACGTTTCACTATGTAGAAAGGTCATATCACATGCGAGTAATTGAACCATACTCTATTGCAAGTGTTGTCTCCTTTATGTTGAAGTTCCATAGGTAACAAATCCCTTTATTCAGGTTTTGTGTTATTCCTTGCCTTGGGATATTTTTTGACTTTTGTGTAACACTAGAATATGGATATCACTGCAAATGACGGACCTCCCTCTTGGGTAACGATGGCTGAGGACCTCATTCAGAAGACCGAGGTTTATATTTTGAGGTTTGATCATTACTTGGGCGATCTCATGTGGCTCTGGGAAGAATTTGAGCGCCTCAATCATTGTCTTGACGAGGACTATGAGCACCTTAGTAGGTGCCTAAATGCCCTTAGTGTGAGGCTTGATAAGAACGAGATAGAAGTGCGGACTGCCGTTCGTGGTGTTGAGGTTATAGAGGATTCTGTTGAGGATCTTCACTCCTCCGTTTACAAGTACTAGGGTATTGGCAGTCCGACTGTCACCTTTAGAAAATGCCTCATTCAAAAATTTACTTCAAGAGGAAACCCAACAAGAAGAGGATGCCACTCTTCCTGTGTATAGGGTATCTATTTCTGGAACTCGCCAATGTTGGGTCTTTAAAGCCTCTGTGATGGTACACGACCACACTTTTTCATGGCAGCTTGTGCTTTTCCAAGAAGGTGGCTGGGCAATCTGCCGCCCAAGAGGTGTACGCTTATGCCAAAACTATAGGGTTAGACCCGTCTGTAGAGGAGAGACTTCGAGAGAGTAGACAACTCAACAAGTCCCTTAGGTTTGAAAAGCAAGAGCTAAACTCTTGATGGGAGCAAGAGCTTCTCAACTCTAGGAGGTATAGCGAAGAGAAAGTGTGATTGAAAGGGAAGGTGTTAAACTTAACCTCTCATCTCGAGCAACTCATGTCTGCTTTTTAAGTTGCTCGAGAGACTCAAGGGAATATCTCTTCGTACTTTCTTCAACAGGCTAGCAACTGCGGCCCCTTTCGATCCCCATCCGCTCCCTAGTGCGCAAGGGGAGACAAGCGGAGGCACCCTTCATCATCAGTTCATGGAAAAGGATCAGTAGGTACTACTGATCCTTTTTTTTTTTTGAATGTAGCCCACATATATTTGAAGCATTCATTGCTATGGGCTTTTTTGTAGTGGTCCATGTTTTTGGGGTGGGTTGTACTTGACCTGGTCTGCTTGTAGATGCCTCATTCGGGGAATAGTTTGTGGTTAGGTTGCATTTTGGGTTTTATTTGGGCCCCAGTTGACTATGCTATTCCCTTCTTGCACCTGTTCTGTGAACATTTCTTGGTCCCATTAGTCTTGAACATGGGGGGTTCTCTCTCCATGACTGTTTTATGGGCTTTTTGTTGGCCCCATCATTGGATGATCTTTTGTGCTCCCTCGCATGGGCATTTTTGCCCTGTGAACTTTGGGTGGTCTGTAAGACTCTTCTCCACATGTTAAGTGGGCTTTTTAGACCCTTCATGTATATGGGCATTTTGGCCCTGCGAACTTTGGCTGGTCTCTTAACTCTTTTTGTACACTTTTACATGGGTGAACTTTGGCTGGACTCGACTCTCTTCCTACACATTTACATGGGCTTTTTTGGGCACCAGAAGTTCGGGACATCACATGGTGGCTGCAGCTCTCTCTCTCTCCATCTCTCTCGCTCTCTCATGCACCTCGTCACTTGACATGCATGGATTTTGTTTTATCTCATTTATGTAGAGTTCCCCATCATGGGTCTCTCCCCCTTCTCTCTCTCTCTCTATCTCTCTCGCTCTCACACATTCTCAACATTCTCAACCTACTGGTGGTTGACATGGACTACTTTACTTATCTCAAGTGGACTTATTATTGAGATGGAATATGTCATCATTTAATATATTGCGTTTTCGTATGTATGCTCTTTCCATTGTATGTAGTATGTACTCCTAGACGGACGAGAGAGAGGAGTTCCAAATTGGGTCTGGGTGTGAAGAGTGAGATGGGCGAGAGAGTGGATATCCAAAGGCTGAGAGAGAGAAAGGTGGGCGAGAGAGAGAGGAGATCCAAATTGGAGATGGGTGAGAGAGAGAGAGAGGAAAGGAGGGAGATGATGTTAAAGCGGTCTAAGGGGATATCAAGTTGCCCAAATTTATCTAAGAAAGAGCGAGAGGCATTAAAATTTGAGGAGGATGAAGCCCAAAGATGTATGAGAGAAAAGGCCAAAATAGAAAAGATGTTGGGTGTTCAGTGGATGCATCGTTGTTCCCATCATTAGTGCAAACCGAAAGTCCTGATTAAAAAAAGGGGTATTACCAAGACCAAGATCCCACATTTATTTAATGTTCAAGCAAAAGATGATGGACGCTGCAGTTGCTCGTTTCTTTTATGCCCACGACATTCCTTTCAATGTTGCGAAGGGGCCAAGGTTCCATGAAATGATTTACGCTATTAATAACTCCCCAAAAGGCTTTGTGGCACCTAAATACAAAAAGATCTAGACAAATTGCTTGATAAAGGGAGGAATAGGATTGATCAATCTTTGGGTGCAGGTAGGAGTGAGTGGGGAAGTTATGGTCTTTCTATTGCATCTGATGGTTGGAGTAATATGAAGAACGAATCTTTGTTTCATGTCATGGCTGTATCAGTTGGGAAGGTCATGTTCATTAATAGTGTTGATTGTTCATCAATCGAAAAGACGAGCCAAGTTATTGCTGAAATCCTTTTGAAAGCCATAAAGTCAATTGGACAGTATAATGTGGTTCAAGTCGTAACTGACAATGCGACCAATTGCAAAGGTGTGGCTACTATAGTTAAGCGCTGTCATTCTCACATTTTTTGGTCGGGTTACTTGACTCATATTTTGAGTTTGCTAATGAAAGATATTGTTGATAAAAATAAGAAAATCAATCTTTGCTTTTGTTCGCAAGCACTGTAAGCAGGCAAAAGCAGTGGTAAAGTACATTCGTAATTATACAAGATGGTACATTTGTAATTATACAAGATGCTTGTACATTTTTCGTACCCATTCTAACTTAGAACTTCTTAAGACAAAGAAGACGAAGTTTGGGTTTCACTATATTATGTTGAGGAGATTGATGGAAGTGAGAGTTTCCTTGACGTCTTTAGTGTTGGGTAGTGAGTAAGAAGGTTTGAAACGAGGCACATCAAATGATCAACATGGAATAGTTCGTGATACTATTATGGATGACGATTTCTGGAAGATTAATGTCTTTTACAAGGCCCATATGGAAGACGATAAAGTTTGCTGATAGTGATAAGGCTGTCGTGGGTGATGCATATGAACGTGTGGATACTATGTTGTGGAAAATTTATGTGGCCCTATATGACGTTCCTGTGTTATTTCAGAGGGAGTCGTGGCTTGTTGGGACCAGTCAAATCTTCCATTGCATTGTTTGGCATTCCTTCGCAGTTCTAAGTATTATTCATGAGTGGTTGACTACACCAGCTCTTTGGGGGGAAAGAAGGATGAAGCTCCCACCAGGACCCAGAAGTTTCTGCATGTGACAACATATCTCTTGATGTACTGATTCCAGATGATATGGAACGAA